ATCAGTTAAAGTAATGCAGCGCCATAACGCAAATGGCCTGGTCAGGAAGAGGGGTAAATCCTCAGGAGGGCAAGTGGTTAACCTGCGCTCAGGACAATAAACTATTATGTGACTGCAACTGCCTGAGATACCTATACCTCAGTGTGAATATACTCTTACTATAAACCACAATGACATAATCCAGTAACAACATACAGCAAAAATATACATTTGCCAATACAAAATTAGTTAAAAAAAAAAAGCTGCAGCTCCTGTTGGGGGTACTGACCCCCACAAAATGTACAATTAGAAAATATGCCTCCTTGCAATAACAAACAAACAAACCTAAATAGTCCCTTGTGACTTGTTTACTGGTGAAGGTTATTGCTTCCAAATATTAAAGTTGAAATAGATGATAGATTGAAACAGGCCAGTGCAGCTGCATATAGACTACAAGTCACAGCAGAATCATAAATTATCCTCCACCAAAGTGAGTCTGACGCTTGTTTGATTATAAGAGTCCACTGTATCTGGTGAGTGAGTGGGACCACTGGTGGGGAGCACAGAGCACGGATTGCATGGTTATATCAAGAGCACTTTAACATTTGGAAGCAATAAACTTCATCAGTAAACCAGTCACAAGGGACTATATGTTATTGCAAGGGAGCAGAGCTCTTATATTTTCTAATTGTATATTTGATTATAGCACATGTATTTTTGACCATTTATTGAACTTTTTTGGTATACATCAGATTTTTTTTCCCCTTGTTTACAGTACTTTGTCATTGATTATATTTCTAAAGTTGAAGGATAATAAATCATATCTTTTGTTCAGGTCACCTGTCTTGCCTGTGACAACAAGTCGAATACAATCGAGCCATTTTGGGACTTATCCTTGGAGTTTCCTGAAAGATATCACTGCAATGGAAAAGAGAGTGTGTCTCAGCGACCTTGCCTGCTGACCGAGATGCTGGCTAAGTTCACAGAGACTGAGGCTTTGGAGGGGAAGATCTACGCCTGTGATCAGTGCAACAGTGAGTAGATGCAGTATGTATTCTCAAGGGTATTCTGTTTTACCAATGTTATGTTTTTCCAGTTCTACTAGCTTAGTGTTAACACAGCATGCACTGTAGGTGTGTCTACAATTATTTAAAATGTTAAAATATATGTAAAAATAAGTGCACTTTTAGTAAATTTACTCTTCAGGGCCATCCTTCTTGTCATTTTCCTTGCTGGTTACACTTGCCTAATCCACGGGTTACAGTAATGGTCGCTGTGGTTTCCTGGTGCCATCATTTTGTGACTCTTCAGTGAAGCTAAAAGAAAAACCAATATGATACACTGAAACAACACATAACAGCGCCCATCTCACCACTGGCACGCAACAGACACCAGACCGCACAGAGAACCGCTGCAGGCTGGATTACTTGATCACTAAAAGTTCACTAATCCCTTCATGCATACAATACATTCACTTCTTCTTTCTTTTCACCCATAGTACATTTATGTGATCTCAGAACGTGTAACACCCGGTCACATCGGGTTGCGAATTGGCATGCGATTTGTATGCACTGCGACTTGAATATTGTATGCCAAGTCACACCCTATAGTCCGCTATTAGAGCGGTCATATGAGTTCGGTTCCGACTTGGTCAGAGCCGCACTGATTTCTAAAGTAGTGCATATACTACTTCTGCTACGTTTTGCATAGACATCTGTGTCAGATGTCTTGCAAATCTCAACTGAAATCGGCAGGTGATCCGATTTTGAAATCCTGCGACTTCATTGTAAGTCACAAGAGTTTAAAATCGACTTTGATGTGACCGGGCGGCTAAGGCTAGGTTTACATCTGTGTGGGTGATTACCGCTGTGGGAATGCCCCTGTTCTTTCAGCCACAACCACCTGCACAGAAAAACGTAGGAGCTGTGTGTGGGTGCCATTAAAGTGGTTCTACAGGCTCAAGGTTTTTTACCTTCATGCATTAATAGACGTCTAACATGTCATGCTTTACAATTCTGTATGCCTGTAGAACGGCGCCAAATGACGATACCTAAAAATCTCCAGAGGCAACGCTGTAATAGCCTTTATAGGTTACCAGTTTAGAGTTACACAAGAGGTCTCCCGCCACTTGTAAAAGCAATTAGCTGCTACGATTGCTTTTACATTGGAGCATCACTGGCTGAAAGGAAAAAAAAAAAAGATGCCTACGGGCAGGAACGCCATTCAGCCACTGTGCTGATATTTACCATATTCCATACCCTTTGAAATCTACTAGAGCACCTCAATGGCATCTTTCTTCAGTTAATTTTACAGTGAATTTCTTTGTACATTGAACTTCTGTTTAGCACTTTGTGGTTTTACATTAATTTTTATAGTTTGGCTTGACACACATATATGTGTATTTTTTGTTATCTAGTTAGCCTTTTTAGAGCTGCACCAATTCACAGTGGCATCAGTGTCCTCCATGAGACGATCTTGGGCATGTGTTTCTTTCTCACCAATTTTCTGCTTTTGTTATATTATTAATGCAGTAAATCCTCACTTTTCAGGAAGGTCTAGTGAAATATAAACTTAGCACAGGAGTGCTGTATAATTATCTTTTAGAATAACATAGTATCAGTGGCATCTTCATCAAATACATTCAGATACTGTTATAAAACAGATAATGGGAGCCTCCAGTTGGTATTTTTTCCTATAAAGTGAACATGCCTTTAATTGTTTGTCATTTATTATTTTTTATATGTTTATAATAAAGCATACCTGTAGGTAAAATTATTCTCTCCTGAACGTGCACCGTTTAGGAGACATTTGCTCCCTTTGACAGCCGTTGCATGCGCTCTGAAGGAATGGCATAGCCGTGCTGTTCCTTAAGAACACTGCTGTGGCCTGGGACTCGCATGCGCGGAAGTAATGTTACTGCAGCTCGGCCAGTCAGACGGCCGTAGCTCGCAAGCCCGAAAGGAAGACCGGGTGAAGATGGAAGCCTCTGCAGCGGTGACAGCGAGCTACTAGAGGGCTATGTTTTAAGGCAAGTCCTTCATAATGTGCTAGTATGTGATGCATATTAGCACATTATGACCTTACCTTGCAGGGGAAAAGGGGGAGCTCATAGTTGTACCCTGCACTGCAACCATTACTAAAGAAAGGAAGTGACAGTTGCTTCTTCTATGAAACTATATACATGGAGACGCTCCAGTGGTGGGAGTGAAACTCCTATCATAATTGTTTTGTGATTAAGCAAAAATTTAAACTCTGATGCAGACCTATTATGAATCTGGGAGATTTTAAAATCTGGTTTTCACTCTGACCTGCCATTATTCATGCAAAACTACTGTAAAGTATACGTTTTGTAGCAGCTCAGCCCTGAGACAACAGGAAATGCCACTTTTGATTTGGCACGTTCTGCTTCCATGTCGCAGTACAATGCTATGTCTGGTGTCTTGGCCATCTTTCAGCAGGTATGGTCATTGCCAGTCGGGAAGACAGTATTGACACATTTGCTTTGGGATGGTTGTGCTGGAGGGACCTATTGTTGCAACAAAAGGGATAAGATGACAACCTATGTCAGTCATCTGTACAGCAGGTAAATGGTACCTCCAAGGCTTATTTTTAACCTTTTGATAGTGTAAAAGTGTTTAAAGATTTCACTACTATCTGGTACTCCCATTGAGGAGATTTCATTCACTGTCTTTTTAACCATTCCCTGTTCTTTCCGAAACTTAAAGGAGAAGTACAGTCAAAGCTCATTTGGCTGTATTTATTCTGTGGATTTCTTCTGTGGATCTCAGAAGTGCAGTTTGCTCTGTGACTCGTTTTCAGCCGTCACTTGGCCAGTCCAGGCTAGGGAAAGATTGCGACCATATGGACAGGATACACTCGGGAACCTAGACCAGCACCTGGCTCAGCCTCGCAATGATCCTCTGCAAGCCTAAGCCAGCCGCTTCTGCCTCCTCCACAGCCCAGCGCTCCAGTGAGCACTGGGGGAGTTGCAGAGCAGACATTGGTGACTGACAGTCACCGCTCTCTGCTCAGAGCAGCGGGGGAAAACTGTTTACTCAGTTCTCAGCCTTAGAGCCGGCGGGGGACAGATGCAGTATCGGATCAATGCTGCATACACCTAGGTAAGTATGATTAAAAAAAAAAAAAAAAAATCCCCAAACTTCTCTTTTATAAACCGTTTTGGCTTTAGATATTTGTTTTTGTCTTCAAATGTTCACTTTGTGTCAGGAAGATAAAAGTAGCAGTTACAAAAGGCAAGGCTATAAACTTGGCTTAGAAATTAATGATCAGGGCTTGAAAAATTTGCTTTGAATGTAGGACCCAGTTTTTTTGTTTTTTTTTAAGCATAGCATAGGTTGTCAGTGCCCGGTACAAGGCAACTTTTGGACGATCAGCTTCACACGATGCGATTTCCCGTGCAACAGTGATGGCAGAACCGCACCACGTTATAGGGGTCTTTAAAAATAATCGCACCTGAACCTGCATTTTGCAATCATAGCAATTCTGAATCCAAAACACCCAGCTGTGAATGGAGCCACCCTAGTTCACACACAAGCAATTCTGGATGTGTTTTCAAACTCTCAGATTCGTATGACAGGCTGGGTATTTTGAGTTCCTACTGAGGTGGTTCACACTTGTCATCCACACGCATTGTGTTTTGAGAGCCAGTACAAAAAGGGTCCTGTGCGAGTTTGTAGTGGTGCGTTCCAGACTTGCAAGTGATAAGTAGAGTGGCATACAGAGAAAAGTGTTCACATAGGATTGTTAGTGACTGGTGTTTTTGCATTGAAGTCGATGGGAGGTGTTTTTGCATTGAAGTTGATGGGAGGCAGTGTGTGAATCCAGACACCAGGACACAATTTCTAGTAGCCATGGGCAACCTGGGATTTGTCCAACACTGTGTATGATTTTATTTTTTATTTTCTTATTTTTTTTTTTTCTGTGCGCTTACAATTCCACTACCCATTTCTTTCTTGTTATATGCAGCCAAGCGTAGGAAGTTCTCATCCAAACCAGTCATCCTTACAGAAGCTCAGAAACAGCTAATGGTGTGTCGACTACCTCAAGTCCTGCGACTCCATCTCAAGAGATTCAGGTAATGGTACATGCATGTTCTAAAATATTCCTGAACTCTGAGCCCTTGAGTGGAGTATGTTTTCTGATATTTGGGAAAAACTTGTATGGGGTTACCTTGTAATGTGTATTCACATTTAAAAGAGACCTTCATATTTGAGGCCAAATTTCTAATTGAGGTGGAGGATGTATTGAAAGGAATTGCAATGTATGTAATGGCTATTTTATTGTGCAGTATGCACAGAAACAATGTTTTCTCAGTTGTAATTTACATCCGCAGGCTAAAGAAACATGGAACATGTTTTTTTTTTTAAATACAACATTCAAAAATACAGACACAAGTGAAGGACTTTAAAGTTTCAAAATTAATTGCTGAATATTTTGCTGTGCCTGCAGTTTTCACATATATATGCAGAAATAGATTTTTCATGTTACTTTGTAAGGCATTCTTTATAGGGATAAATTATTTATTTCAATAGATTTTTTTAGTTTTAAATGTATTGCCCAGGGATAGGCAACTTTGACATTCCAACTGTGCTGAACCTACAAGTCCCATTATGCCCGTGACCGACAGTCTTGCAAAACCTCATGGGATTTGTAGTTACAAAACTGGAGTTCCGAGGTTGCCTACTGCTGGTAGAGCAAGTAGCTGTGTTTTTAAAAGGTTTCTGTTCTGGTATGTTGGTTTTCTGCTCTGGGTGTTGAGTTCTTTTGGGGCTTTTAGTAATTAAACAAGATTACTAAACGTTCTCTAACCGTGTTCTTGTGACCTATCCCTAAACCTGAACACCTAGCTTCCTAAAATATTTCTAAGGTGACAGAATCTGTATTGGTCTTTGAAGCAACCCTGTATCCTGTGGAGCTCCTTGGGATCTGATCCTAGAGTGAACATGAAATTTCAGCTCTTGCCTAAGTTGAGGTCAACTACCACCCCTTACTGATGATAAGCCTTCCCCTCTGGGCAAATGTTAAAGCCCTAGGTCTAGATTCCAAAGTAGTCCACAAGGTTTGATTTGAAGATTGATTCGGGTACTGACCACAACATGTCTGCACTTAGCTTTATTACCTTAGAAATATTTCAGGCCAGGTACACTTTCATACTTTAACCTGAAGCTAATAACCTTTGACCGTAACCATAAAGTTTAACCGGAACACTTAAAATTAACTTTAACACTTATACTAATATTAAAATACACTCAACCCCAAATTTACCTTTTCAAGTGCACACTAACCTTATCCGAACCAGACCTATTCACACTAAAACATAACCGTTGATGGCTTTCATTTTCAGGTGGTCTGGTCGCAATCATCGTGAGAAAATTGGAGTACATGTGCAGTTTGATCAAATGCTAAATATGAAGCCGTATTGCTGTAGAGAATCTACTGCAGCCCTGAAATCGGACCACTTTATCTATGACCTGTCTGCTGTGGTGATGCATCATGGAAAAGGATTTGGTTCTGGACATTATACAGCTTTCTGCTACAACCCAGAAGGAGGTAGTTGATGTGGTCAATATGATTGTAAAAGCTTGCAAGGCTGTATAAGTAAATAAAAAAGCACTGCACATTTTAGAATGCTTTCAGTTGCATTTAATATTTTTCCTCAGCTTTTTGCTAGTGTCCTAAGGTGATAGACCTTCTCCCTTATGGAGAAACCCTCTTAGTTTTATTCTTTATCTTCAGATTTTTCAGTCATCCCTTCACTGTTTTCTAATATAATAGTAGAAGCAGTGTATCTGGGTGCACCTCAATAAAGTGGGGATGGCCTGTAATATTGCTTCAGGCACTGAATCCTGCTGCAGAGTGCTGTACAAGTGCAGGGTTGTGATCCATCCCCATAGAACCCAGATCCTGCAGCTCCCTTTGAGGATATGCCCACTGTGATGGTCAAATTCTGGACTCTATCCACTTGCGTACCGCCTACTGCAGTTTTACTATGGCAGAGTGCCAACACTGCACCAGATTGCATACATGTACATGATCTGGCATTTCTGGGTAGAGGGCATGCGCGCGCTACCCCTTCTGTGCTGTCATTTGCTGCAGCACAAGCCGATCAGCAGGTCCCGGCCAATAATTTATGACTGGGACCTGCTGATCGACTTAGCGAATGACAGTTCAGAACCCTGTGGTGTTAAAGAACACGGCTCTGAATGGAGAGCAATGATGTGGCTGTTTTTTGTTTTTCTTCTCCCTGCAAAGCAGGGGGACACATCTAGTAGTAAAAGTGGCACTTTTATTACACATTATTAGGCACACAGTTACCCTTTGATTGCCCCTGGATATTAACCCCTTCCCAGCCAGTGTCATTAGTACAATGACCGTGTATAGTATTGGCACTGATCACAGTATTTGTGTTATTGGAAATGTCAGTGTCATTTTAGTCAGTTCCCACCCAGCGTCAGTGTCAGATTGCCTGCCACACTATCGCAGTCCCACAATAAGTTGCTGATCACCGCCATTACTAGTATAAATAAATCCAGAAAGTGATATATAGAAATGCGCTTGCTCAACATATATGATACATTATAATTATAAACCAGATAATGAAAAGTCCAATTAAGTGCATTTCCCAACACCACAAAGAAAGTCTGAGTCCTTTGGGAGGATGCTGGATTAATGGCAATATTCCAAAAAATATATTAGTCACTCTTTGTATATAATTGGCTTCTTTAGCCGTCACCATATTGGTGTAGCCACTCAATGAAAACATTCTTGCCCCTATGAATAATGTCTAGAAATGGCGGCTTGTCACTTCCTGAAGACGCCGATGAGTGAAATGTACATAGAAACTTGGACCAGCACTTCCGGCCTGCCAGATCGGGGCTTGGAATGCACGCTGGCCATTGTGGGAGATGCGGTGACATCTTTACATGTACAGGCTGTATAAACTGGTGCCAGGATTGTAGGCACTTTACCACGTGATTGTGATTTTAATCTATTTTATCTGGAACTATGGTTCTTAATAAATACTACACTTAGATGCTTTTTCATGGGTATGTGCTGTTTTTTTTTAGTCCATTTGAAAGATACTATTGAACAAAGTGGAGGCTGGAGATCCACCTATGAGAGAACATGCTTGGGGGACCTAGCACTGTTTGACCATCCTAAAAGGGGGTCAAAACCTTCTGGTGAGTGTGGAATTTAATTATCAAATGCGAGTGGTGAAGAAAAATCTTTTGGAATATTGGCATGAGTCAGCATCCTCCCAAAGGACTCTTCGTTTTTGTTTGTGGTGTTGGGAAATGCACTTAATTGGACTTCTCATTATTTTGTTTATAATTATAATTTATCATATGTTGAGCAAACGCCTTTCTGTATATCGCTTTCTGGACGTATTTAGTGTGTATACATTCGGTAGAGGCAGCTGCTATTATTGCTATTGCAATCATTTGGTTGTTTGGAGTTACCACAGTCACTATATACGGTATAAGTAGGTGCCACGATATTGGATATTTGTAATATGTTAGTATAAATGAATAAAAATTCCTGTATATATACCATTGATTGTAGATGCTATAACTTTCACACTAACCAATTAATATACACATATTGGGATTTTTGCTTTTACCAAAGACATAGCAGAATACATTTTGGCCTAAATTTATGTAGAAATTTGATTTTTTTTTTTTTTTTTTTTTTAATCATCAGATGTTTTTTAACAGAAAATAGAAATATTTTTTTTTTTTTCAAAATGTCTTTTTTCATTTACATAATATAGAAGTACCTATAATAAAAAAAAAAAAAAAAAAAAAATGAAGTGATGATCAAATGCCACCAAAAGAAAGCTCTATGTGAAAAAAGTACGCAAATTTGATGTGGGTACAGTGTTGCATGACTGCGCAGTTGCTAAAGTAGCAAACTGCCAAATAAAAAATGGCCTGGTCATGAAGGATTTAAAATCTTCCAGAACTGAAATGGATAAAAGGACCAGTGCCATGTCCAGTAAGCCAGGGTCACCCTGTGTCTTTGACCATTATTGTAAAAACCAGGGTTATGTTTGCACTTTTCAAACTTGCAGCTAAAAATCAGCCACTTGGAGTTTAGCCTCATGTTTATGACCAGGTGGTACATCACAGTTGAACTGTCTCTACTGGAGTCTGGCATTGTCTTATCTGAATAATCTCCTTCTTGCCATGCCACATTTCTGTATCTAGACCAGTGTTTCTCAACCTTTTTCCAGTCAAGGCGCCCTTGAAAAGTATTTTTGGTCTCAAGGCACTCCAGTCTACGGCTTGGTTCACGTTACCTTGTTTCGTGGAACATGCACAAAATGGCGTGCTTTTCTGACACCCAAGCAAATGTACTGCTTTTTAGCAGATACGCAGGAGTGTCTTTTAATGTTTTTGGTATATCATACATTGGCAAATACAATGTGTTTTTTGTGTGGCACAAAAAAGAAAAAGGAAAATGGTCGGGGACTTCTTTCCCTGTGTTTCTGGGGGTAGGGCAGCCCATTGAAATGAATGGGGGCTGCCCTACACGCAGCAGCACAGATGTGAACCAAAGCCTCATTCACATGTGAGTTTGGGGGGCAGTAAAACCACATAGCTGATTGTACAGGAATAGGGGTCAGGATTTTAAAGATACATACATATACTTAAAAACACGCATACACACACATACCCATTAAAACACACACATATAAACATACACCCACACATAAACATGTGACTTCTACAGATGACGTAATGTGTATCGGGGGACGGATGTCATCCCTTGGTATAAGAAACACAAAACCCTTGGTTAAGATGGCCGAGTGCTTATCCCAGCACTGTTAAGTACCTATCTCTGTAAGTGGCATTTATTATTATTAGCAGCAATAAATATTTAACCACTTCAATACCGGGCACTTTTACCCCAATTTTCAGCGCTCTTACACTTTGAATGAAAATTGCGCGGTCATGCAACGCTGTACCCTAACTAAATTCGTATAATTTTGTTCACACAAATAGAGCTTTCTTTTGGTGGTATTTTATCACCACTGGGGTTTTTAATGCTTTCTAAATTAACGAAAAAAGACTGAGAATTTTGAAAAAAAAAGAACCACTATTTTCTTTGTTATAAACTTTTGCAAATAATTGTTCTTCATTAATTTAGGTGAAGATGTACATTTCTGCTACATTTCTTTGGTGAAAATAGTCCAAATTAGTATTTATTTAGTCTGTAAGAAAGTTAGAGTTCACAAACTATGGTATATATCTGAAAATGTATCAATCCTGAAGTACTGACAGCCAATCTAATTTTTTGAGGCCCAAAAATGTCAGAACAGTACAGATATTCCCCAAATGACCCCTTTTTGCAAAGTAGACAGTCCAAGGCATGGGGAGTTTTTTGAAGTTGTAATTTTTTTGTCATCAATTTTTTTGAAAAATTAAGAAATTTAAAGAGAATTTTCACAAAATATTTTTTTTTTTCCACATACTGTCACCAGTGCAGTACAGCATCATCATATAACTGGTGTGGCAGTGATCAGGGACACTGGAAACAGCGCAGATAAAAAAAAAATAATTAACAAAAATATATATAAATTTTATTTAAAGATTTTTTTTTTTTTTTTTTCATAATACACGGTGACAAGAGTAGTATGGTACCATAGTAACATTGTACTACTTTGGGGAATTGATCAGTATTTTTTTTAATGTTTCTTTGTTGTGATTAGCTGTGATTGGCCATGGCTAATCACATGACACAGATGGGCTGTGATTGACCCAGTCTGTACATGTGATCATTGTGACCAATCATGGCTAGTGACTCAATTATATACAATGGATGGCATCAAAGGAAGCCATCCATTGTTTACAATTGTCATTGATTAGTCACAGCAGGTCACATGGTACTGGCAACGAGTTGGTACACAGATCGGTCATCAGCTGTGTCTGAGGTACACAGCCAGTGACAGATCTCGCCATGGCGTGATCCGGGAAGGACGTCATATGACGCCCACCCGGATCGACGAGAGTCCTGCTCAGCTGTCATTCTGCTATTGGCCGGGTGGCAACAGGTTAAATAGAGAGCACTATTGATGCTTTCTTTTATCTTCCATGGTTTTCCCTGTATCTTTAAGCTTCTGAGCAGAGAACAGCATACTGTATGGAGATTAACCTTTGAAAAGGTAAAGCGTATTTGACATACTATCAGCTCAGTGATCTTATTCTGGAGAGGAATACAGCGTACTATGTGGAAATTAACCCTTGAGAGGGTAAAACGCATTTGACCTGTTGGCTCAATGGTCTTATTTTGGAGGTGAGGTTGCTACTCACTATTTTGGTGGAGACTACTGGCCGATAGGGTGTTGATTTTATAAAGGACATTGAATCACTTGATGCACATTAGGGATTGGACTTTTACTAAGGACCTTATTTTTGGATTTTTGGATGCTTATTTAAATGAATAGGTTGCACTGCACTTTTTTTTTTTATATATATAATATACACACAAACATATAAATACACACATGCACATACAGTATATACAGCCTTTTAAACAAAATTGCAGTACCTTCATGCACACAGCTGGGTACTGCATTGTAGGAGCAGGCAGAGCACAGCACACACTCAAGAAGGCACCTCCTTTTCCTTGCTTTCACTTTGCTGACTTCTGCATTCAGTGCCTTACTGAGCTGCCGATGTAGGGTGGAGATTGGGAGTCTGCTCTCATCCGACAGTCTTTCTCTACCAGGATGCTGCATCACCCCTGATTAACTCAGGTGGCGCCCCAGGCTCCCTAGTTGAGAGGCTGATCTGGACATCTTCAATCTGATATGTCAGAGATTGGTAATCCCCGGATGTGGATATCCTTGTCTCCAGATTTAACAACACGCTACCTCTGTGGCCAGGACCATGGAACTTCTGGCACTGGATGCCTTGATAATCCCCTGGTCTCCGTTCAATCTAATCTGTGTCTCCCCTCTAGTGCACATTTTACTTCACCTGCTCGTCAAAATAGAACAAGAGAAAAAAAACAGTGATTCTTTTTGCACTAACTGGCCCATAAGAACCTGGTACACAGACATACCCAGACTACTAAGAGATGACCCCTAACCTCCCGCCAACAGGCCAGCCCTGCTGTCTAAGGGCCCTCTATTCCATCCTGTTTCTCAGTCTCAAGTTTTAACAGTGTAGCTGTTGAAGCCCAGGTCTTAAGGTTCAGAGGATTATCTGAGTCTGTCATTCCCACCTTGCTGACAGCAAGACAATCCACTTCTATAAAGATATGTTAACAGTTAACATACCTGGAAATCCATCTTTGCCTGGTGTGAACACAGGCACTTAAATCCCAGAGATTACCTTATACCTCATATTCTGACTTTTCTGCAATCAGGACTTGACCAGAACGTGTTCTTAACACACTGAAAGAACAGCTTTCAGCCTTGTCCATTCTTTTTGAACAACCTCTGATCTCGCTGTCTCTTGTCCAAACATTTTATCCAAAGTATCTTGGATCTAACCCCTTTTTTGGAGCACCCAATGTTTCCTTGGGGCCTAACGTTGTCTCTCTCTGCCCTGCAGAAACCATATTTTGAATCCATCAGATGAGCTGTTCTGCAAATTGGCATTCCTGTCAAGATGTGCCTTTGGGCTGGTGGCTAAGGAGCCATTCCTTATTCTTCACAAAGACAAGGTAGTCTTCCACCTAAGACCATTTTTTCTTCCTAAGGTGGCATCAGTATTCCACCTCAATGAAGACATAACCCTTCCATCTTTTGCCCTATTTCAAAAACTCAGTGGATGCAGTCGAAGCCATCAACATTGAGTTTACCTCAAAGCAACAGCTTCTGTCAGAAAAATTGACTTTTTTATTCTTCCATCAGATCCTTGTAGGGGACATCCTGTTTCAAAGTCCACCATCACTAGATGGATAAGGCAACTCAGCAGAGCTTACACGCTTAAGGATGAAAAATTTATCTGCAATTTTACGCACCCGCTCTGCCAGGCCATTGGGTGTTTCTCGGTATTTCAGCTCCAAACCTCTGTAGCCCAGGCTTTGAAGGATGGCCACCTGTTCCCCTGTTCGTTCCTTTTTGGATTTCCACCAGGTGGACAACCGAACTTCTGCGAACGTAGCTTTTGGCTGCTAGATACTTGCGGCATCACTCTGAAGTTGGGTCTGTTTATGTGTTAGACGTTTTGGCACAATTCTGTGTTGCCTAGTTGTTGCCCACCCCTCTCATTTATTGCTTGGAGACATCCCGGTGTATATGAATACTTAGCCTGTGTCCTGTACGAATAAGAGAAGCTTTGACACTAAACATTTTGATGAGTAAATTACTTATCTGGGAGTATAGTATAGCACACAGGCCACCCTCCCTTCTATTGCTGGGTTACTCTGCAATGCATAGTACAAAACTGAGGACTTATGGAGGGGGTTAGGGTTATAGGGAAGGCACCCAGGGGGCGCATCCTCCAAAAGCTTTGCTAGTGTCCAGTTACAGAAGAACACAGCATTTCTACTCTCAAAGCCTCGAAGTGTATGATGGCTATCGTGCAGAAGCACCATTAAACCATCAGATCTAAATGAACCATTTGTTGCCCAGCGTCCATGTGTATATACACAGCCTGAGCAGCAAGCGGTTATACCTGGATCCTGGGCTCTCCTGTTCCACCGAGGAGCCTGGGGCCACTGTAAATTGTTGGGTCAGCTGCCCACAGAAAAGATGGAGGAACATGTGACGAATGAAGCTGAAAGCAAAGAGAAATGTGTCACTTCCAGTTTCAGTGCTGTCATTCACCGGCCAGTACAGCCACAATCTGTGTTTTATCAGATGCTTTGAAGGGCAGGGGAGACATCAGGGATAGACCCCTGATGTCTCAGTGAAATGTACCTGTCACTGCCCCAAGCTAATGGGGCTTGTTAGAAATACTCCGTTACTTATGATTTAATATTTTGTATTTTACAAAAAACTAGGATTTATATTGTGTTTGCGTGCACTAAAAGTCATTTAAGATTATTTTTTCGAGAAAATTTGCGCTTGATAAACGACTGCGCAAATATTGTTAGACATAAAAAAAATTGCAACCATTTTATTCACTGGCGCCTCTTTCAGAAAATATAGAATGCTTGGGGGTTCAATGTAATTTTCTAGCAAATAATATGCTGTTTTTTTTTTTTTTTTTTTTTTCTTTTCTTTACAAGCATGTGAAAAATTTTAAAAATTGCCCTGGTAGCCAAGCAGTTAGAGATAATTACACAAGGTAGCATTTATCAAAGTGCCTGAATTCCTGGAGTGAAGCTTTAAGCGAATATCAAAAAGATTAAAAATATTATTCATTTTATATTTGTAAAATCGGTGTTGCGCTACCCAGTGAATCAAAATTGCTATAAGTAAATAATAAAATAATACATTCATGAACAGAATAGTGAGTTGTTGAAAAAGACACTTAAAATGTTCCCACACTAAATAAATAAATTTAAATCGGTGTTGCGCTACTCCGTGAATCATAAACACATAAATATACATGATATAAATCAAAAAAACATAAAAATTATTAAAGTACAAAATAGTGCAAACAGTCTCTCAAATATTCTGTGCTTCCACTTGTATATAGTGCTCCACTGCAAACTGCCCCTCTACCTGGACACAGGGTGGCCGCTCACCTGAAGTCTTGGATATATATATATATATATATATATATATATATATATATATATATATATATATATATATATATATATATATATATATATATATATATATATATATAGCATGGTACATCTAAAATCGACCTCAAGATGGTAACAGTGGGCTGTTGATCGATAATGGTGATGGCAATAACCACACTCAAGGACCTCTTCTCCACTCAGCATATAAAGGAAGAGAGAACAGCCTCCTATTGTGTAATATAATTTAATAAAAGTTAAAAACCACCAAATATGCACTTAGATGGCTGCATAGTAAAAAACTGTGTCAGCATAAACATCCAAACTTCTGTTCCGACTCCGTAACTGGAAGTGACGTCACTAGGCTCTGCCCCACATGTTACGCCACCAACCCACGTGGCTTCATCAGGGATAGGGCGCCGAGTGATGCACAACCCTTATATCCAGATAAATAACCGTAGTGACCAGACCGGTCTCGGATAAACCAAATCTTATCATAAATTATTAAATGTAACTGTGCCCCTCCAGTTTGGTGTGGAGCGTTATATACAAGTGGAAGCACAGAATATTTGGCTTTTGCATTTATGAAAGACTGTTTGCACTTTTGCACTATTATGCACTTTGGACTTTAATAATTTTTACATGTTTTTTGATTTATATCATGTATATTTATGTGTTTGATTCACTGAGTAGTGCAACACTGGTTTATTTTTCATTTATTTATTTGGCGTGGAAACATTTTAAGTGTCTTTTTCAGCAACTCGGTATTCTATTCATGAGTTTATTATTTATTATCTACTTATTGCAGTTATGGTAGCACACATTAATTATTATATTGTTTTTATATTATTTGGTACTGGATACAGGATATTGGGAAATCATCCCTATTTTAATCTGTGAGTTTTGACCGAACACTTTGATGTAAAATTGTCTCTGGCAACTAGGGTACATACAGTACCAAGAATTAATAAGAAATATAGAGTGACAGAAGCAGAACATTGTTCTTATTGGCTCCTCGGCAGCATGGTTTGGAAAAATGTTCTCATAGACAGCACCTTGCTCACACCAAATGAACAGGCAGCATGTAGTCAGATCATATATTATTACCTACTACTAGTGGGCCTTAGCAACACTCATCGTCAGAGAATGCATTGTCTTTCTGTACCTACCTTTTTCTCTCATCTTTGATCGTTTACATTGTATCCTTTTCAGTAGCAAAAATTTGAGTGCGATACTATTGGATAACTGTGTAAACACTGAAAAACTTGCCAGTAGTATCTAAAGTGCATATCTGTAGCCGTAACATTATGAGGTTGCCTTTACACAACTACTTGAACATTTTCATTGTTCACATAAATACTTGGAAGTATTTTTTTTTATATTGAAAAGATCCACCTCTGGATTTCTGCAGTACTGCCCCAGATTATTGTAAAAGATTTGTATATGTGTGTATCCGTTTTGTGTTAATCTTTACAAACATTCTAGACTGCCAGTGAACAAAAGGTAAATCCTCCCATGTTAACTGTTTTATTCTGTTTTTCCCTTATCTTTCCTATAGGGTTTTGGGTGCACTGCAATGACTCTAAGCTGCACACATGCACAGTGGAAGAAGTCTGCAAGGCACAAGCTTACATCCTGTTCTACACACAACGGGTCATTCAGGAGAATGGACACTTATCTAACAAGCTTTCAGGCCATGGCACTCCGTCTACTAGTCCACTAGCCACACCTCACTGAGTGAATGTACACCCATACAAAATTGAAACCATGATGGCAGCTTCTAATCTCAGTTCTTGGAGCCATTGGCGTGTCTACTTGTGTACAGTAAACATTCTTTTCAACCCAACCAGCACAGACTTATAGTAGTGACTGCTCAAGATATTTAACATAGCTGTATAAATGTAAGTAAAAACCTGGTCAATGCAGGCTCGTAAAAATGACCATCTTCAGCAGGATCCAACAAATAAACTACCATGTTCCTGACCTCAAATGTTGACTCCAGGTCTGTTGAGGAAATCCATAGGTCATGTAAGAAGATAGTATGTTCCCACATGTCAAAGGCAGCTAGTGTTCCTCAGCCATTGTGGAACACAGCCACTAATTTACATTCAGGGTGTGCTGCCGTGGACAGGAAGATCGGATACTGGCAAAAAAAAAAAAAAGACTGTAGGCCAGCCCAGGATAACCCATCCTACTACCAGAATGACTCAGTCTTATGCTAGTGACCTGTGAGAATGAATGTCTTTTAGTCATAACTGTTGTGAAAAATAAATACCAAATATCAATCTGTACAATTATCACAATCGCACCAAGGAGCAAGATGGCATTTGGAAGTGATAGCTTTCCACCTCAGTGTGTACCAGTAATGAAATATGTAGTGCAGTGCTACCCTCACTAAACTCAATTCACAGAAAAAGCGTTCAATAACCAAGCAATGTGAAAAAACTGTAAATATTGCTAACAAAACAGCACAATGTATCAAAACTAAGACAAGAACATAACAAATCAAACAAGTGTGTTAATATTCAAAACTATCCCAAAGTTCACAAATTAAGTGGTAAATAACCTAACATACTGTGCACAGTCCACAAATCTATGTGCACAACCAAATAAGTCCCAATCCAGGTCAATCAGCAAGGTGTAATGACTCCTTTAAATTACAGTGATGTACAACCCGATCACCAGCTTGTTTTTTTTACCAACCTGCTGACCTTCATAATATGACCTCTACAAGAAAATGAGGTCTAACAGGCCTGCATCATCACAGGGTTGAAATCCTGCTTAGTCATCCAGATCAAGAGTTTTTTTTTTTTTTTTTTTTGGTCTTCCAGAACCTAGATTCCTCTGCATAGTACTCCTCACCACATATCCATCCATATGAAAGAGGAAAAAACTCTCATAGTGCCTTCTGAATGCTTTATTCTGCAATAATAAGAATTAAAAACACAAGCAGAGTAGTAAAACCACGTTAATCCAACATATGTGAACCAAACGGATGGCACCAATTCCACAGCTTACCACTTCTCTCGTGCATCTGGAGCACCCATTAGTATGATGGCATCATTAAAATTGCAGACCCTTTACACGCACTGTCCTGCAGCGGGAATTTAGAAAGCACGGTGAGAGTTTTTTTCTTTCATAGGGATGCATATGTGGTAATGAGTATTATGCAAAGGAAGCTGTTCTGGAAGACCTAAAAACAAAGGAGTACACACACTTTGTGGATTGACCTGGACTGGAAATTTTATTACTTTGAACAATCCACAAATATATGGATACAACAAAGTATTTTGTTTATTTAACACATCATATGTGAACTTTGAGATATGTTTTACATATTAACACACTTGTTGGATTTGTTATGATTTTGCCATTGTTTTCACACAATGCTTTTTTTCACCATTTTTTTTATCACTTGATTGTTGAAAGCTTTTATATGAATTGCGTTTAGTGATGGTACGCTGTACTATATATTTTGTAGTTGTGAAAAAGACTAACTTATTTTTACCAGCAACATTTTTTGGTTAATCACACTCTTAGCTACATCGCTCCTTGAGCTGGTCTCTTCTGTTGGCAGCCATACTCAGCCTATGTTTTTTACTGCCACCTCAGTCCTGCTGGACTGGACATTGCTGGGATATTCTGAAAGTTGCCTTTGAGCACTGGTTTCAGTGTAAGGAGCTTTTCCAACTCCGTTCTGGTAACAATTTAGTTGCAGGGCGCTTTCCAAGTCCAAAACCACTGGCACTGCCTCACTGCTTGCCCTGTCTCTAAAAATTCATTAAATGAGTAGGCTGGTCAGGCAGAAGCACCAGGAGCTACCCCATTTACACTGGTCACAGGGTGCCTTTTAAAATTCCCATTTCTGTCGCGCTGGGTGGGTGTGTTGAGTGCTGCACCCTCTGTCCTGCAATTCACCATTGAGGAAGCATCTCCCTGCTGATATGTGGAACTCTGATCTTTGGTTCATTCTTTCTCCTGACCTACAGTAGCTGTAGCTGTCTCCAGCCATCCAGTCCTCATCTACTACCAACTGTTTGAATTTTATACATACCTAAGGCATAGCCCAATCCCTGAACTTTACATTACCTTATTGCCAGATTCTAGACACAGAGAGAATAGTCCCACTGTACTGGGTGCCCTTATCGCTTGGAGTATCTAGGTCCAGTTCTGGACATGGCTCAGGCCAGAAATTTTCTCCCACAGGACAAACTTCAGATTCTCCAGTGCCAGATTCAAGCTCTACAGTTCAGGAGTTGTCTTATTCTCCACTTTTGCATAGGAATATTGGGTGTGATGGTAGCCTCCTTCAAGGAAGTCCTGTTTGCACAGTTTAACTTCAAACATCTACAGCGCAACATTCTGTCATGTGACAGGTCAGCCCTAGACAGACCAATTCCCTTAGTTCCCTTCGTGGCTCACAAATCTAGCTCTGCAAATGAGGAAAGCACCTCCTTTTCCGTCTTTGGGAAGACCCTATCAACAAATGACAGCCTGATAGGCTTTGGTCTCTTGAGTACCCTGTTGGCGCAGGGGACCTGGTCATTGTCAGAGTCTCATCTTCCAAACAACATTCTGGAGCTTTGGGCAATTTGACTTTCTTTACAGCATTTTACCATTCTGGTGGAGGGTCATCTGATCTGGATTCAGTCAGACATGCCACACTGGTTTCATACATCTTCTATTAGGAAGGAATCAAAAGTCTCATAGTGGCAAGAGAGAGAGTGGAGCCTTGTCTGCCGAGTACATTCAAGGAGCCGCCAATTAGCAAGCAGACTTCCTCTGTTGGTGTCTGGAATTTATAGAGGCTCTGTGGGATCAGCACACTTAATACTTTTTCCTCTGAAAATGCTTCCTTGTCTGCTTCATAGGATCTAGATGGAAGGCATTGATCCTTTTAGTCCTGGGTTGGCCCAGGTGGATATAGTATGCCAGCCTGGTAAGACTCCTAATATACGCTCCATAGGTTCCACCAGATTGTTCAGGTCTTTCTCAAGGACTAACTTGCCATCTTGTTCACAGTTGCAGGCCTAAACAGCATGATTGTTGGAGCCCAGGTTCTGAGAGACAGTGGCATCTTTGAATCTGTGATTCCTGTGATGTTAAAAGCTAGGAAGATTACCGTATTTTTCGCTCCATAAGACGCACCTGACCATAAGACGCACCTAGGTTTTAGAGGCGAAAAACAAGAAAAAAAAATATTCTGAACCAATGGACTGCAGACATAGTACAGGAGATGACCAGAGACTGCGGACACAATACAGGAGATGACCAGAGACTGCGGACACAGTACAGGAGATGACCAGAGACTGCGGACACAGTACAGGAGATGACCAGGACTGCGGACACAGTACAGTAGATGACCAGGGACTGCGGACACAGTACAGGAGATGACCAGGGACTGCGGACACAGTACAGGAGATGACCAGGGACTGCGGACACCGTACAGGAGATGACCAGGGACTGCGGACACAGTACAGGAGATGACCAGGGACTGCGGACACAGTACAGGAGATGACCAGGGACTGCGGACACAGTACAGGAGATGACCAGGGACTGCGGACACAGTACAGGAGATGACCAGGGATGCGGACACAGTACAGGAGATGCAGGGACTGCGGACACAGTACAGGAGATGACCAGGGACTGCGGACACAGTACAGGAGATGACCAGGGACTGCGGACACAGTACAGGAGATGACCAGGGACTGCGGACACAGTACAGGAGATGACCAGGGACTGCGGACACAGTACAGGAGATGACCAGGGACTGCGGACACAGTACAGGAGATGACCAGGGACTGCGGACACAGTACAGGAGATGACCAGGGACTGCGGACACACAGGAGATGACCAGGGACTACAGTACAGGAGATGACCAGGGACTGCGGACACAGTACAGGAGATGACCAGGGACTGCGGACACAGTGCAGGAGATGACCAGGGACTGCGGACACAGTACAGGAGATGACCAGGGACTGCGGACACAGTACAGGAGATGACCAGGGACTGCGGACACAGTACAGGAGATGACCAGGGACTGCGGACACAGTACAGGAGATGACCAGGGACTGCGGACACAGTACAGGAGATGACCAGGGACTGCGGACACAGTACAGGAGATGACCAGGGACTGCGGACACAGTGCAGGAGATGACCAGGGACGGACACAGATACAGGGACTGCGGACACCATGGGACTGCGGACACAGTACAGGAGATGACCAGGGACTGCGGACACAGTACAGGAGATGCGGACAGTGCAGGAGGACCAGGGACTGCGGACAGTGCAGGAGATGACCAGGGAGACTGCGGACACAGTGCAGGAGATGACCAGGACTGCGGACACAGTGCAGGAGATGACCAGGGACTGCGGACACAGTGCAGGAGATGACCAGGGACTGCAGGCAGTGCAGGGGATGACCAGAGACTGCAGACAGTGCAGGGGATGACCAGAGACTGCTGACCTTTGGGGAGGGAGGGGGAGCGGGTACCTGAATTTGTCGAGTACCCGCTCCCACTTCCGCGGAGCTGTCCTTCCCTCTTCTTCCCGGGCCGGCTTCTGTGACAGCCGGGTGCCCACTGCGCATGCGCGAGAAGCGCTGCGCTTTTTGAATGGCCCGGCGCCTTCTGGGACCTGTCATGTGTCCCAGAAGACACTGGATCATTCACAAAGTGCAGCACATGCGCAGTGGGCACCCGGCTGTCACAGAAGCCAGCGCGGGAAGACTGTGCAGC